ACCGAGTGTGAGATCTTGCGTTACCCTCACGATGACACCGCGAGGTCAGCGCTATTATTCTCCCACTTTGATCTGAGCGGGCATTTGAATGCAGCCTGAGAGTCACCTTCAGCCCAGCACGACACCACACACAACGGATGCCCACAGACCATTTCCGAACGACCAGCCTCATTTCCAAAGCCTGGCTCAGCCAGAGACAAGGACTGGAGCAGAGGGCCATTCACAGCGTTTCAAACAGTGACAGTCCCGAGGCAGCAGGGGTCGAGGGGCCAGCGCAGAGGGGCAGGCAGGACAGGCAACCCAGACGGGAGGAAAAGAGCACAGGTGACCGAGAAAAGAGAGAAAACGAGGGGACAACCATGCTCCCATGGAAAAGTTCCCCAGTCTCAAAACTGGGATGTGGCCACAAGCGACAGCCACAACCACACACGCTGTCTGTCCCCTGACCTGATCAGGCCTGCACACCGTACAAGCTTTGCAGTAAAAACATCTGCTTCTGGACCAAACCCTACAAGGAACCTCTGGGAGCAGGTCCGATCTATCTAGAATCTTAGATAATTACCGTCCACAGCACTCGACGGGTATTTAGAAAAGCAGCAAGTACCATGCCGGTAATTCGGACGGAGGGGTTTTGTCTGAACCACCCAGAGAGGCCGTCTCTTGCCAAAGTGTGCACCCGGAACCGCCGCATCAGCATCCAGTTCGCAAGTTCCCCCAACCCCTGCCCCATCCCCCCAGAGCCCCATCCCCAGAGGTAAGATTCCCGTAGGTCTGGGCTGGGGCAAAACACCATGTCCTGTCCCTAAGCTGCTCACCCTGTCAGGTGATCATAATGTGAACCTCACGTCGGTGCTGCGGGCACAAACCCCCGTCCATTCCCTCACTATCCACCAAGAACGACTCGCCCCCCACGTGCGGGGCCTGCGGGCCCTGGGGTTCCGCTGGGAGCAGACGGTCATGGCCCCGCAGGGTGTGAGATGACTTTCTAGGGGAGAACAGAGACCACGAACAAACCAGGGAACAGAGGATGACTCCGGGCAGCAGCAGGCCCAGGAAGGAAGAGGTAACGGGAAAGAGGTAGAGTGGGGAGCGATCAGCGCAGAGAACTCGCCTCCGAGGAGGAAACCTGGAGAGGAGACCGAAGGAAGCGGAGAGGTGGGCTCCAAGGAGGGGGCTTTGACAGTGCCAAGGCCAGGCAGGCGGTAAAGACCTGACCTTGCAGAGGGAGGTCTGGCCTGTGCCCTCGGCTCCCGGGGCTGAGCTCTGCGCCCTCCGACGTGCCTGATAAAGGATCTTTGCTGACCTGGGGGCCTCGGGCCAGCAGACAGTGACCGTGTGACTCAGGTGGGGACTTGGGGACACGCTGTATCGGCGGCCACAGGGGCTGGAGCCGGAGCAGCTGTGGGCATCGGCCACACCAACGTAACGGGGCCCCACAGAAACTCTGACACTGAGGCCAGCAATATTCCACACGTGTGTCCTACGTCGCCCAGAAAGTAACGCTTTCCAGCAAGAGGACAACGGAAGCACGTGGTGGTGCTTTGCTCAACTCTGCCCCGCGCACCTCGTCCTCTGGCTGACTTTGCTCTGTGCCCCTTCACCGGCATGGACCGGAACTGTGAGTACAGCAGCTCTCAGGGAGTTCCGGGAGTCCCGCAGCAAACGACCAAACCTAGGGGTGGTGCTGGAGACCCGAACCTGCCACTGGTGTCAGAAGTGCAGGTGGACCGTGGGGACTGTCCCCTCTCCCCACACACCTGGCAGATGCTTGCTCAGCGTGTCGAGAGCAGCTGGCGCACAGCGAGGAAGGAGAGGAGGCAGGAACGACATAGGAGAGCCCCGGGCAGAGCGTGTCTGAGCGTGCCCAGCGCAGCGGCAGCGCCAAGGACAGGCCGTGGTGCTGGCCGCAGGCTCCAGCAGCAGCTGCAGGCTGACCCCCCGCCCCCCGCCACTCACCCCCAACCACATGAGCGCACTGCTCTGGCCTTACGCAGTTGGGGCCTGACTCCTTCCCAAACCAGAGCAGGAGGCGCCAACCACCCACTGACGTGAACAAACCCTGACTCAGGGAAACACCGCGGCCTCGTTCGGCCCCCAGTGTGCCTGACAAACAGGAACTAACGAAGCGCAGCCCAAGCTCAGCACAAACATCTCACCCGCCACCACCCACACGCCCCTCTGTTCAGAAAGCAGCAGTTACTAAGAGCTAATAGCTCACACACACCCCTCCACGTCGCCACTGTGGCGACCGGCGAGCCACGGACGGCCAAACCAACATGGCTCTCCTGGTCCCTGCGTTCGTGCTTACTTTAGAAAACACTCGATCGGGAGTGAAAGACGAGCCACCAGCCTGCTTCGAGATCTGACCTTCAGTCTGAGGGCCGGTGGAACCCTCTGGAAATTGCCCGTCTCCAGAAACACGTGCTCCGGGCTGGCGGGATGGCTGCAGGAACAGACATCGCAGTGCCTGGCAACAGGCTGTTTCAGGAAACGGCCAAAGACGCTGCCACCGCAGGAGCAACGTCCACCCACCGGGCCGTCGGCTGCGGCAGAGGAGGCGGCACTTTGCAGAAGGGAGATCACTCAGTGTGGTGCGTGAGTTTCCTGTGGCTGCTCCAGCAAAGCAGCACAGACCTGGGGCTTCCGACAGCACCAAAGGGTCCTCCTGCAGTCCTGGAGGCCGAAGTCCAAAGTCAGTCCCACCGGGCCACGATCAAGGTGTTGGCAGGGCTGGTTCCTCCTGGAGGCTCTGGGACAGAATCCATTTCCTTGTCTTTTCCAGCTTCTAGAGGCAGAGGCAGAGGCCACTGCGGTCCTTGGCGCGTGGCCCCTTCCTCCATCTTCAGAGCCCACAGCTGGCACCTGGCCTCACTGTCACACTGCCACCGCGGTCGGCAGTCAGACCTCCCTCACTGGGGAACACACTGGGCCCACCTGGGTACCCCGGGGTAATTCCCCTTTGCAACATCCTAAACTTAGCTACATCTGCAGAGTCCCTTTTGCCACATACGACGACTGTCACAGGTTCCCAGGATCATAGCGTGGTCATCCTTGGAGGCCATGATTCGGCCCAGCACACCAGGTTCCCTAAGGAAGGGAGCCGGGCACAGCTCGTGCTGATGCTCTTTCGTTTCGGAGGGTGCGGGGTGGGCAGCCGAGATTAGCAGCACTGAGGGACGGGGAGTGAGGCAGGCGCACGCCCAAGCTGGCCACGGCCCTGGAAGAAAGCCCGGCCTGCACTCAGCATCATGGCCGCGTCCTGCAGAGTCCCGGCCTCAGAGCCGTACATCAGGGGCGGCGGGCAGAGCGTTTATTCCTGGGCTCCCTCCTGTCCTTGGTCCCACTTTGCCCCGAAGGATGTTAATTTCCCTGAATGGCCCCTCAACCTGACCCTTCCTCTGAATCTAGAATCCGGAAGAGAGGCAGCAGCTGGAGCCTCCACGGGTCCCGCTGGTTGGCCCCGGATGCCAGAGATGCTGTGGTCCCCCGTGGTGGCCCAATGCAGACCAGCCCTCGCCCCGCCAAGGCCGAAATGGCCCAGGGTCTTCAGCGGCAATGCAGAAAAGGCGGAGTGGCAGGGCTGCGCCCATCTGGGAGCACGGGAGGGAAGTGACTCATTCCACCTCCAGCCCCAGGGCCCCGCACAGTCCCCAGCACTCAGTCGGGCTCAGCGAATGTGGCACCAGCTCAGACTAGTACCTGCACCGTTAGCCGTCTGGGGCTTCAGTCTGCAGAGAAAGACTGTGGGACTTCTCGGCCTCCGTGAGCGTGTGAGCCCACGCCTTATAACAGAGCTCCTTACATCTCTGTATTATCGTTCTGGTTTCCTGGAGAACCCAGAAGGTCCTCACGTGTCCCTTGCTTACATGTCCCCCGCAAATAACACTTTGGTGGGTAAAGGACAAGAGTGTTTTCCTCACCCATATTGTTCTGTTTAAAATAACAGAGTGGGCATTCTGGGAAAAAAGTTCTTAATAAAATAAACTAGGTAATTTAAGCTGTTAAGAATCAACACCTTTGAGTAGGCCCTAAAACTGTCATTTTCAATTTAGGTTTTTAAAAGGATACGACTTGCGAACAGTTATTTATCCTGACTGAGCCCTTGAGAAATGCAGCTGATCAGCACGGCGCCAGGTTCAACGCAGTCGGGAAGGTGGAGAAACTTTGTAAAAAGCATTTTTAACAGAAAACGTCTGTTTTGGGCACGCATGGTCACAAGCAGCATTTTCAAAGCCCCTGGGTGACCTGGGCTGGTCATGGGCTGCAGAAGGCATTTGCCGTGGCCACCTGCTCGGGAGCGGGCCTTGGGTCCACCAGGGTCGGGACGGCGCCGGAGCCCACAGCCTCTCCTTGTCAGGGGGCTCCCTCGGAACCCCTACTGAGGTTTAGGTCAGATCAGTCGAAACTGCAACCTGCGCTTGGACCCAGACAAACACCGCGAACAAAGCCTCTCGGCCAAGTGGGGGCCGCGCTGGGGAGAAGGGCAGACGCCGCCGCTGCTCCAGGACGCCGCAGAGCCCGGCCCCGCCGCTCACGGCTCCCCCACTTCTGGGAACCAGGCGGCCGCTGCCTCTGGCTTCACTGGCACCCACCCGTCCCGACACGACGGAACTGACTGTCCCTTCAGCGCCGGCACGGCCGCGTCAGAGGTCTCCTGCACAGCAGTGGCCGTAGGGGCCGCACTCGCGCTCTTCAGGCTACCTCTGAATCCAGACCCCGGCAGGCCCCAGAAGGAGTCGCGCCCCCTTCTGTAAGGCATGTGACAGGCCACTCCAGCCGTTCCTTCCTGGCTGCAGAGCTCAGGAAAGGGTTTCTAAGGCCCCGGGCTGAGCCGGGCACATGGAAGGTGCTCAGTGCTGTGGGCTGGGACCTCCCTCTGCTCCTCCTTAACCACACGCCCGTCCCCCTCCTAACACGGCAGTAACTGTGCTCACGAGAGCCCTGAACCCCAAAGCCAAGCCCTCACCCTAATGGGACACTCCGACCCAGACGGATCTCACCTTGACCAGCTCCTTGAATTTGGGGTCATCCTTGGAGGTGGGGTCAATCATCGTGCGCTCCTCATTCTCCTCTGCCAGGGACAAAAGGGAGTCACAGGTTAGCATTTGGGGGGGGGGCGGCAGGGACGCTGGGGGCAGCCACACACCCGTCATAAGTGGGTGGGAGATGGGCCGAGAAGCAGAGAACCCAGCACTCCCGTGTTCCTAGACAGAACTCCCTCTCCCTATGCACAGACTCCGGGCCCATGTCCAAGCCCCATGGCACCCCTAGAACTGACCAGCACTCACCGTGCCTGTTCTGGTGTCCCCAGGACTGTAAGCACCTTGGTGGGCCCTGCCTCAGTCAGCGGGGCCACCAGTGAAGAACAGGGTGCCTGACCCAGAGCGAGGCCTGGCCGGCGCCCACGATGGGTGATGGAGGACACAGACGCTGTGTCAGCCTTAGCGTCACCAAACACGATTCAGTAGGTCTATGCTGAGAAAGTGACAGCCTGTCACGTTTAAGATAAACCTCCTATTTCTAGGGCTCCTGTTGGTCTAAAGCAGGGCTCTCAACCGGGAGCGGCCACGCCCCCCATGACATGTGGCAATGTCCAGAAACATCTGGGTTTGTCCCCACTGGTGGGGAAATGCTACTGGCAGCTGGTGGGCAGAGGCCAGGGACGCTGCTCGACATCCTGCAGTGTGCGGGGCGGCCCCAGGGGTCCACAGCGCCAAGGAGGAGAAACCTGCACTAAAGCAGGCTCATTCCCAGACCACGCGAGTCCTCAGCTTCCCCTTGCAGAGAGTGACCCAGGAGCGTCCGCCTGGACAGCAGCTTCAACCACACCAAAGACGACAGCAGCAACGCACAGAGCTGCGCTCCTCCCAGGGCAAGAGAGAAACCACCTGGACCCCCCAGCGGGATCTCAGGGAGCACAGCAGCTGAACTCGCAGTTGCGTTTCCTCTCCGCAAGCTCTCGCTGGCCTGGCCTTGCAGAAATTGCGAGAGAGGGATCACCCGGATTTCCCTTTGAAATAGGGCTTGGAAATGTGCAGAATGTTCCACGATTGCCTCCCAGATCGACTGGGTCCCAAAGCACACTTTACGGAAAACATGCCTGGGCTGTGACCTCACTACCACCAGACGGCGAGT